TTTCGGGTTTCGGGTTTAGGGCCCTCCTCAAAGCCATAGATCTTCGCCAGCTGGACTGCAAAGTGGCCCACACCTTGTGTTCAAAGTCCCCTCGACGCACGCCTAAGCCTAAACCCGAAGCTCTCCGACCCCTCCTGAAGCATCGAGCATGGCTCTATGTCGCGAGAGTCAGGTCAGGCATCATCCCCAGACGGAAACAGAACAGAGATGTGGGTGGTTGTCAAAATTATGGTCCCTCATGGGGTCCTTTTATAATACGGCACCTATTATTTAGGGTACCCCCAAAAGGGGCCATAATTTTGACAACTACCCATGTAATGAAGGCCCGGAGCCTGCAAACCGAATCAGGCAGTGACAAGCCAAAAGCTTTGCAGAATCCGCGCAAACGCCTCTAATGGGATTTGGCAGCCTCAGTAAAGCGGAGAGTTAGACAAGAGTGCCTTTGAACCCCGCATACCCCCGCATGGCTGCAGACTATTCCGCTCCGACGAGTTCAACACCCACTAAAGCCTCACGACGCAGAGAGAACCCGAAAGTTCACAATGCTCAGATAACAGGTAACTTGTTGAGAACCCGATTACACCTTGCGATTGCCGTCCAATTCATCCAAATCCTCCTCGACGCTGCACCCTGAAAACCACTCGTCAACTCTAGACGGCCCTTTACACTCGATCCCTAAACCCTAAACCTTTAACCCTAAACCCTAAACCCTAAACCCTAAACCCTAAACCCAAAGCCTCTCCAAGTAGCCGCCGGCACCAGCGTGGACGAGGATTCTTTGCCCTCGGCCGCAGCCCGGCTCGGAGTAGCCGGCGTCCTTCCTCAGGATTCTTATTGGGATTTAGGGTTTGGGGATTTTGGGGGTTTAGGGTTTAGGGTTTGGGATTTAGGATTTAGGGATTCTTGCTTAGAGGGTCATGGGACTTAGGAAGTCGGGCTATAATTAGGGTAACTATACTTATGACCCCAATTAAGGGGCTTATAACCTTATTTACTAAGTCCCATGATCCTCCAAGTATTGGCGGACAGTGCAACTGGCCGGATCTCCACAGCCACACGGTGGTGTGATTTAGGGTTTAGGGCTTAGGTGGCGTAGAGCATGCGCAAAAGCACCAACAGCACAGGTAACAGCAGAAGCTACCGCGACTGCAGGTCCAATGCCCCCAAAGGCACGAACGTCTGAGATGCCTCTGCTAGTGCTACAGCCGCAAGAGCAACAGAAAGACAGCAAAACTAGCACTGACAGTGCAAAGTGCAACAAGATGTTTGCCTCGATGCATGTTCAGGATCATGGTTATGATGCTGACGGTGACGAAGACCATGACGATGACGATGACTATGACGATGACGACGACGGTGATTGTGGTGGCGTGCAGAGAGAGAGAGAGAGACGGTGATTGCGATGGTGATGGTGACGGGGAGATCAATGACCAGATGGCGATTATGATGATGGTGATGATGGTGATGATGGTGATGATGATGATGATGATGATGAGGATGATGATGATGGTGATGATGATGATGATGATGATGGCGATCAGGCAAAGGAATGAGAAACACACAGGATGATATAACACCACCTCCACCGTACCTCCTCGACTAAAACCTTATACTTGCAATGCCAAACCGTTACAACTACCAACACTAACTAAACACTAGCCACGATTTCGACTGTCACTAAATCTAAATCAAAGGTACGAGTACCAAAAGCAAGATAACAGCAATAGTACCATGACCACTCTTTCGATCAGAATAGAACCACCGGCATCAAGGTTGCATCCACAACAAAGCCACAACTACTATCATCGTCTACACCAGACAACCAAATCATCACCATAAACACTGGTGCCTCCTCTTTTGCGCTACCACGAAGACCTATATGGGCAGTTCTCTAAACTAGGGTCCCTTTTCGGGTCCTTTTCGGGTCCTTTCTATAAAGGTGCCGTACTATATTGGGGAGCTAAACAGGGACCCTAGTTTAGAGAATTACCCATATGGTGTGCAGGGGGTGGGGACCCTTATATGGTACCCTAAATAATAGGATCCTTATTATAAGGACCACAAAACAAGGTACCCCTTATTTTCGGAAACTTCCATATGTTGTCCT